GATTACAGAGGACTATCAATATTTGAGGTGTACCTCCTTCTCCAGTAGTTTCTGCTGCTTCCTCTCCGCAGTCATGCCATTCCTGTCTTTCTTTGCACTTGACCCTTCAGGCTAGTTTTTGACAAGGGAAAGACAAAGGAAACAAATATTGTATATCTCAAGCAACTCTATGATCAGCAGGCTCTGCAGAGTGGCGTTAACAATAACATTAAACTCACAAGGACATCAAGCGACAGAGTCCTGCGGACAGGAGAAACTAAGGCATTTCTGGAAGGCGATGGTGGTGGCGGCAGCATAGCAGCTCCATCAGCTGAAGACACAAAAGAAAAACAGTGGTACTAACGTTGTGTTACCAGTTACACCATTTCCTGTAGCATTACATGTAGCAGAGCCACTCACCCGCTTTAGGAGGTTTGAATCGATCAGATTTGTCAAAGGATGCCACTCCTCTCAGGTCCCCAGGTTTAACCTCATAGGACCCCGGAGGAGGGGCGCAACCTTCGAACAACAAGAAGACGTTAGCTGTAATGTCGATCACCGCAATCAACAATGGTATCATAAACACCATCAGGCCTTTGTTATGTAAACAAATAACCACCCGTGGCTATGTTTTATTAATTTATATACGTTAAACAAGAAACCCCGCTAACCAAATGTGCCTTAACGCTTGCTTAGCTTTAGCCAGCGAACATAAGCCATTTAACGTTAAGTGGTTGAATTTGGCAGCATGCTACAGCCGTTAGCTTTTACTTACCTACGTGTTCGTTGAATCTCCTCAAAGGAGCTCGTGAAAAAGACATTTTATCCCACTGTATGTGACTAACTTTGAATTTCTAGAAGTGTCGCAAAGGCTGTAGTGCAACTCTCACTGACAAGCAACGCTTCGCCGCTGAAATTTCAAAATAACGTCATGCGTAGATTTATCTGCCCGTAGCCAATAGGAATCCAGTCCCCATGACGCAGTTCCGGATATCGCGAGCGTCTTCTTTTCACAACAAATTCAAATAGCCCTCAAGTTTACTTAGAAAGTGTAGTTTCGGATTTTGTTTAAATCCGTAACTGTAGAAATTATATATTTTACTTATTTTATACACCCATTGATGTACACCTGTACAGACTTAACATACTCGTTTTCGATTTGATTTGTTTTTTGGGGGAGGGGCTTCCCCAGGTCTTTTTAAATGGCTTACCATGGACGCTTTCTCCCATTGAAAAATAAAATACCATCCATAGCTCGATTTTTTTAAATAACTAAAAATCCAAAAATAATTAATAACAGTTTAATTGGCATAAATTGCTAAGTAAAATAATTCTGTTTAATAGAATAGCAAAAGTCTACAAAGTCCAGTTTGGTCTTTGGTCGCTAACCCAGTTAATTTTTAAATACAATGCATTCAGAAAGCATTCCAACCTTTGTTATATTGCAGTTTATCTCAAAATGATTTTTTCCCTTTAATATGTACAGATGTGCTCCACAGTGAGACAAAAAAATTTTTAAATGCTTGGTATCTATTTTTACTATAGTTCTGCAATATGATAATAGTATTAGGCAAGGCAAGGCAAGTTTATTTGTATAGCACAATTCAACAACAAGGTGATTCAAAGTGCTTTACAGAGACATTAGAAACAAGAACAAATAAAAAGCATGATTTAAAATTGATTAAAACAAGCAAATAAACTAACTAACTAATTAACAAACAAACAACAAACAACAGTATATAAAATCAAAACAGATAAAATCAGAACAGTAGATAAAATCAGTAGTTAAATGTAAGTTTTGAAATTTAAGCTTAAAGTGTGGATTTGGTGCTTTATTCAAATGCAGCTGAGAACAGGTGAGTCTTCAACCTGGATTTAAATAAACTGAGTGTTTCAGCTGATCTGAGGCTTTCTGGGAGTTTGTTCCAGATATAAGGAGCATAAAAGCTGAATGCAGCTTCTCCGTGTCTGGTTCTGACTCTGGGAACTGATAAAAGACCGGATCCAGATGACCTGAGGGATCTGGATGGTTCATACTGGGTCAGGAGGTCATTGATGTATTTTGGTCCTAAACCATTCAGAGCTTTATAGGCCAGCATCAGAACTTTAAAGTCTATCCTCTGACGGACAGGCAGCCAGTGTAAGGACCTCAGAGCTGGACTGATGTGGTCCACTTTTTTGGTCTTAGTGAGGACTCGAGCAGCAGAGTTCTGAATGAGCTGTAGTTGTCTGACTGATTTTTTAGGTAGACCTGTAAAGATGCTGTTACAGTAATCAAGCCTACTAAAGATGAATGCATGGACTAGTTTTTCCAGGTCCTGTTGAGACATCAGATCTTTTATCCTTGATATATTCTTGAGGTGATAGTAAGCTGACTTTGTTATTGTCTTAATGTGTTTTTCTAAGTTTAGGTCTGCATCCATCACTACACCCAAATTTCTCGCCTGGTTTGTGGTTTTTAGATGTATAGATTGAAGTTCTCTGGTGACCTGTAATCGTTTTTCTTTGGCGCCAAAGACTATTACCTCAGTTTTGTTTTTGTTTAGCTGGAGAAAATTGTGGCACAACCAGTCATTGATTTCCTCAATGCATTTACCAAGAGCCTGTACAGGGCCTCGGTCTCCTGGTGACATTGTGATATATATTTGTGTGTCATCTGCATAGCTGTGATAGTTTATTTTGTTGTTGTTTATAATCTGTGCCAGTGGGAGCATGTAGATGTTAAACAGAAGGGGTCCCAAGATGGAACCTTGGGGAACTCCACATGTGATACTTGTCTGCTCAGATGTGAAGTTACCTATTGATACAAAGTATTTCCTGTTTTCTACGTATGTTTTGAACCAGTTTAGTACAGTTCCTGAAAGACCTGTCCAGTTCTCCAGTCGTTTGAGTAATATGTTGTGGTCAACTGTATCAAATGCTGCACTGAGATCCAGTAAAACTAAGACTGACATTTTTCCACTGTCTGTATTCAGACATATGTCATTAAACACTTTGGTCAGAGCGGTTTCAGTGCTGTGGTTCTGTCTAAAACCTGACTGGAAGGCATCGTAGCAATTATTCTGTTTTAAGAAGTAACTGAGCTGTTGAGAAACTGCTTTTTCAATGATCTTACTTAAAAACGGGAGATTTGAGATCGGCCTGTAGTTGTTCATTTGTGTCTTGTCAAGATTGTCCTTTTTCAGTATAGGTTTGATTACAGCAGTTTTTAGTGATTCTGGAAACACACCTGATAATAAAGAAAAGTTGACGATCTGTAACAGGTCTGACTCTAAAGTCTTTGAGACCTTTTTGAAAAAACTTGTTGGCAGGACATCTAAACAGCAGGAGGAGGAGTTCAGTTGACCTAAGATGTCCTCCAGGTCTTTGCTGTTAATAGGTTGAAACTGTTTCATGGTGTTTAAACAGTTTTTTGGTGGACACAGTACATATCCTGGATCTGCTGTTGATGTACCAATTGCTTGTCTAATCTTTTGGATTTTTTCAGTGAAGAATTTGGCAAAGTCATTGCAGGCCATGGTCGAATGAAGTTCAGCTGCCACTGACACAGGAGGGTTTGTTAGCCTGTCAACTGTAGAAAATAAGACCCGAGCATTATGGCTGTTTTTAGTGATGATGTCAGAGAAGTAGGAACTCCTTGCATTCCTCAGTTGTAAATTATAATTGTGAAGTTTCTCTTTATAAATGTCATAATGAACCTGGAGGTTTTTTTTTCTCCATCTGCGCTCAGCTTTCCTACACTCTCTTTTTTCATTTTTCACCAGTGTGGAGTTTCTCCATGGAGACTTTTTCCTTCCAGAGATAACCTTCACCTTAATGGGAGCAATAGTGTCCATTACATTTAACATGTTAGCATTGAAGCTATTGACGAGCTCATTGACTGACCCTCTGGGCAGGTCAGGTGTTAATGGGAAGACCTGGTTAAAAATTGCACTACTGTGTTCAGTTATACACCGTTTTGTGATCACTGTTGTTGATATATTTGTGTGGGCTGAGATTTTACTTTCAAAGAAAACACAGTAATGATCAGACAGGCCCACATCAGACACAGTAACCTTTGAAATGCTCAGGCCTTTGGAGATCAGTAGGTCAAGAGTGTGTCCTCTATTATGTGTGGCCTCTGTTACATGCTGAGTCAGCCCAAAGTTGCCCAGAGTGTTACTCAGGTCTTTAGTCCCTTTGTCCTGAGGGTTGTCCACATGAATGTTAAAATCCCCAGCAATAATTACACAGTCAAAATCAACACAGATCACAGACAGCAGTTCACTAAGGTCATTATTACATAAGTATTCAGAACCATTTACTTAATATTTTGTTCAATCGTCTTGTCTTATGCAGGGGTCTCGAACGCCAGGCATCCAGGGCCGGTGTCCTGCAGGTTTTAGATCTCACCCTGGGTCAACACACCTGAATCAAATGATTAGTTCATTACCAGGCCTCTGGAGAACTTCAAGTCATGTTGAGGAGGTAACTTAGCCATTTAAATCAGCTGTGTTGGATCAAGGACACATCTAAAACCTGCAGGACAGCGGCCCTCGAGGCCTGGAGTTCAAGACCCCTTATAGGTTATGGTCCTACAATATTGACAACATATTATTTTTTTAATTTTCTACCATTCTTGACAGAATCCAACCCAGATAGGGTTGGATGAGAAGAATGGGTGCAAAGACAATTTTTGTTTCATTTTTTTCCAAGATACATTAGGATAAATTCTGGCTAAGGCAGTGCAGCACATTTAATTTTTCAAGTCGCAAAGGTATGATATAACAACATGATTGAGATGCTACATTGATCCAGGTACAACACCAACACGAGGATATGAGAGACCCTTCCTATAGGCCACCTGGCATATGTAACAGATGTAGTATGTACACAAGCTTCATTCTACAAGATTCTCAAAACAAACAAATTTGGAAAACTAAAACCTGAAAACATCCTCAGGTGTAGGTTCAGGTGTAATACGGCATGCTGCAAGTAAATGGTAGAACCCATTGAAAAGCAAACATGCTAAATACAACTTCTTTTTTTTCAGTTAAACATTTTTTATTTCATGGAAATACAACATAATTTCAAATCCTTTGCAGGAACATTGTTGTACATTTTATATTCTTTTTCTCCACTTTTTTTTTTGTACTTCAAAACATGGTCACTTGTACAACAATATCATAAACAAAGCCTCATGTCACAAATGGAGCCATTGATGACAATAAATTACATTTGCCATGCTAAGGTTTCGAGATGACACGCCGGTACCCTTCATTTTGACGAGATCAACCTTTAAATGAACCGCAAGTCAGACTTGAATAAATACGCTAAAAAGACACCGGAGTTACAAAAGAAACTTTCTTCATTCAAAACGGAGCAGAAAAAAGAAGGCTGCTTTGAAGAGGGTTACTTCATTTGTCTTTCTTCATAAGAAAAAAATAGGGACAAAGTTTTTGCATATTTTGATAACACTGCTAAATCTAAAGCAAAGAGTCCCACAATAGTAAATACTGACTATATTTAGGAAACTGCCCTTTAATCATAACTGACATTTTAGTTTATTACTTCTTCTTTTTTTAATTATTTGTTCCTTCGCTGTATGAGGAGAATATTTCATCTTCACCCATTCATACTCAAAACAGGTTAATCTAGTACAGCACTGTCTTTATACAACCTAGAGGTATTTTCTAATCTTTTTGTTCCTTTTTAACTCTTGAAAAAGCAAACACATTTACTCAGATGACTGTGTGTCTTTTTGCAAACTGTAAATAATATCACTGTATTCATATACAGAATATAAAAATCTTTCCAACAGACAAAAGAGGAGGAGGGGACAAAACAAAATAAATAAATAAAAAAAAACTACCGATGAGGTTTTCCAGTCAATAGAAGAGAGGCAAGTATGCAAAGGATGGTTAAATTAAAATATTAATAATTAAAAACAAAGAACAATTACGACACTCAACACTTCACTTTGTTCAACGGTGAAATTTACAGTGGAACTGGTTACCGAGTAAAAGCGTGTCAGGAGGCCGACGAAAAACCAGGTAAACTGAAGGCAAATCAAAGATGCAGTGTACCTCCGCTCCTCTGAAAAGCAGGCCGTGTGTGAGAGTAATGAAAAGTATATAAACGCGTCATGACAGACGCCTTGTATCATGGACAGTGGGTAGATTATTATACAGATGCATCACGATAAACAAGTTTGGGTCTTAATAGAGGACACGCGTAGAGATCGCACAGGTGTACTGGTGCCTGTGCGAGTACTGTTGGGAGACGTCGGATCACGTAAGAGCACCATGTTGGACTTAAATATATTTATATATATCTATATCTATATAATTTGGAAAATTTGTTATTTGTTGCGCCGTTTCATATCACATTTTTTAAAATCAGATAGTCTAATTTTTGTCTCTTTTGGCATTTGTATCAGTGGTCCAGCGAACAGGTAAGCAACTGAAGGAGTAAGAGAAGGCATGCACGAGTCTTGAGTGGAAGCCACACAAACGAGGAAATAAAAAGAAGAGACGTGACTATACACTTCTACCTCTGGGGTGCTCCGCTTCTCGTAAGAACCCAAAGACACTCATTTGTATTAAATAGAGGAACAGTTTGAGGAGACGTGTCTTTGGATTCTTACAGCCAATGGGGAGCTATTGTGGTACCTTACACCTCACAAAGAGCAGTAAGAGGCAGAAATTAGCATCACAGCTAAGGGGAATGTGTCTTCACTTGTGTGTGTGTGTACAATTTTCAAAGGTCTTTTCAGCAAGTGGTAGCCAGGGATTGGTGTATAGGAGGCTGGAAACAGCGAACATGCTCCACAGTGGAACTGTCCGTCTCCACTGCCTTCATGTACTTGTTCAGGATGGCAAATATCTCATTGTTGAGGATCTGGTACTTCCTGATGCGATCTGCCATCTTCTTCAGCGGCTACGGAAGAAAAGAAGGGATGTATTTTTTGGACTTATAATTGCAAGTCTTCAGCAACAAGGCAAAATTGAGGATACGCAGCAGATAACGTGTACCCACCACATTTTTGATGATCTCGTCCTTGCCATCCTGCCTTTGGACTTTGAGCAGGTGGTAGCAGAAGTCGAAGAGGTCAAAGCGACGCTGCTGTCCCAGCAGCACGATGATGGCACAGCCGGCCCAGTTCAGCCCATCCCCAAAGCACTGCCTGTAAGGACGAGCACAAACAACACGGGGAGGGGGCGGAGGGGTGCGCTTTCATTATGTGATGCACAACTCGAGATGTGACAAGTCTGCAAAACAATGATGCAACTCTGATGCAACAACGCTCTAATGTTTCCAGCTGCTCTGGCGACACAAGGGAGCAACGCGCCATGGAAAAATCCTCCCTCTGTCTGGGTCCAAACTGCTGTCACATATACACAGCCCGCCCCTTTCAACTTATTTTCAGCAATCTTATTGAAGGAGGGTGATGTAAAGGGTGTGTAGCACAGTGATAGAAAAAAAATTAATTAAGGGGAAGAAACTAAAGAAGTCACATAGTGTGTATTGAAAAAGTTTCTCCCAAAACTTTTCCACCCCTTTAACTTCTCTTCTGATTTGCCAACTTTAACCTTTTTATCAGAAGAGAAAAATACTGCTGGACCTGTCATATCAACATCTGCACCAAAATGGACCCAAAGAATAAAACAAATCAGGTCAAATTTAGCTTAAAAAAGGAAAATACATCAACAGCCATCAGAAGCCATCAACACATGGCTGTGGGGAATTTAATTTTCACCATAAAGCAGCCGAGGTCAACAGACACTCTTGGAATCTACCATTAGTTTGCTGATAACTGCAGACTTCCCTTGAATGACTTTTCTACTGTCGCTTGCTGCTGTGCTTTGCAAGTAATGACTTTCTTTGCCAGGTGTCACTTACTCTGCCGTGAACTCGTGCGTGCCCACGGGGATGCAGTAGACGAACTGCATGGCGCTCCACAGGCGGTGGAACTCCATACATTCGTCGACATGCATCACACCGTTGGTGGGCGGAGGACCGCGCCACACCGGATCCTGCAGGAAGCTGCGGATTCGCGTTAGGATGACCTCGAACATGGAAAGGCCACAGCACAGGCGCTCTTTGGTCAGCAGGTCTCCCTCCCGCGCAATGGCAATTTGCTGGTAAAAAAGAAAACAGGCAGAATGCTCAAGGATGAAAATCTAAAAGAGAAATCAGACCATTCACTTCCTAGAGAATTTGCCAGGGGATTTTTGCCACTGCTATCCTCCTCTGTCGCTTGCTGCTAGTAACTTAAAGCTGATTACTCAGCTTTTTCTTTCCTCCTCTGAAAATCCGCAGGCTTCTAGTGTAAGTCAGTCAGCTTAAAGGATAATGCTAGGAGAGAGAAGAGAAACTTTCCCTCCAAAAGTCTAAAAAGTCTTTAGAGAATTTAGAAAATTGTGGGAAAGATTGGCAGCTTAAAGAGAAAATTTTTTGAAGACCAGCTATGAAAATTGTGCAAATTCCCTTGAATTATTTATTTATAATCAATAAATAGTTAACAATGAAACACGCCTGAGAAAAGCAGGAGGAAGGGGTCGCATGATTAAGCTGCAAGACTATAAATATGTCCTTTCAGGTCTGCTTTCATGCCCATCAGAGCGGATGTTGAACTCACTTGCGGGGTTCCCAGCCTCTCAATTAGAGGCACGAGGTGGAGAGGGGCGTACTTCGCCTCCAGCCGCTTCATCCTCACCTCCAGACGCTCTCCCTCTGTGCGGCACACAAATACCAACAGTTGCGGACGTATTTCAAAAGAAAAATGCTTCTCAGATCATCCCAAACTTCAAACTGTGAGTAATGTAATTTGCACCCGTCTGCTTTTTAATTCACCGCTTCCAAACTTGTTGTATACCTTTGATGTAGACTCTGGGAAGAATGTTCTGGAAGGGAGCGGCGTGAAGCAGGTCACACACTTCCTCCTGGGACTGAGATTTAAGCACAACACAGACAAACAGCTCATTTTAATCCAGGAAGTCGCCCGCTGTTATTCTCTACGGATGCCCTGACAAAGCATGCAGACAGCCATGAGGCGGCTTTTTGCTGAACTTCTTAATTTAAGTGTTTTAAGACATATTTTTGAATGCCTAACACGAGCTCCGAACCACAGGTGTGTGCTGACAGATTAGTCAACACAATGTCAGGCTTAGGGAGAGTGGGGAGATAAGATAACTGAATTAGAGTTTGGCTGTGTGGATAATGATGCTACGATTATCAAGCAATGATGACAGGGCAATTTTAAAAGGATTATAATTTGTAACACTTTAAGCACAAAATCCCATCTAGTCGGGTTTAGCGGCTCGAGGTCAAGTTTACAAACATCTTAATGAATCGAAAATGTCACGTGGCTCAGTGCGTGGTTTTTTGTTTGTTTTTTTGCCATTAGAGACTAAGGAGCAATTTCAAGCGGTCAGAGCGATCGTGGTGGTGACTGTTTGTCAAGACGACAAGGTACAAATCAAAGAAAGAGCAGAGGAGCAGCACCTCGAGACCTCGGCTAAAAAAAACAAAAGAAAGAAAAGCTAGAAGAAAAAGCCATGCAACACGCACTCGAATGAACGCACACTTAAGAGACAAACAACACACAACTAGGCTTTTAGTAGACGCACAAGCAAGTGCAGCCAGACAGAAATGGTAAAAAAAAAAGAAGAAAAAAAAAAAAAAAAAAAGAGTGAGATCTGGGCAGCGTACAGGCATTACAAGTGCCCAGAAGTAAAAGACAGTCATGGAGGCAAAAGTGCAGAGTTTAGCACAAGAATGTGCGATCACCTTCTAAAATAGTTATGATTCAATGTAAAAAACATTTCCTGTGACAAATGCAGCTTGATTGTCTGTCTCACTGATTTCCTGCAAGATTACTGAAAGCTTGCAATGTGAATATCGTGAAACGTGTCGGAGAGGTGAAGCAGAAGCAACAAATTGTTGCATACGTCTTAGGTGCACTCTTCAAACACTCTTTTAGTTTCACCTCATTCTTTTTAAAAAAATGAAAGATGTCTCAGTGCTTTTGCTTCCATGGCTAATTGAAGGTAAACTGCGTGTGTGTCAAACTAACACGGAAAAAAAGAGAAACAACAGAAAACAGCAGCCCAAACCAACAAGAGATAAAAGAGCAAACATATTTGGTCATGCTGTCATTTTCTGGTAGCCAATAGGAAGACCTGAATCCTTACCACCTGTGGTAGTTGCCAGCGTGTAATGAAAAACAGAATTGTATTTCAGAAACGTAAAAAACCCTCACACACAATCAGAGATTAAACACTTTGGGGCGTGTGGACTGGGAGCCTGATGGCTTCTGACCGTGGTGTTTGATTTAGCGAGTGAATCAACACCACAAATTGGGTGGAAACCTTCAGGCACCCAGGTTTGTTGGTCACCCACATTAAAACAAGGCAGTCAAGAGAACTTCATTTCAGTGGTCCTGTTTACTGAGCGTGCTCGGAGACCACAGACAGAGCTATCAGAGGGATCTTTGAGAAAGCAGTAGTAACAAAACAAAAAAAAAAAAAAGAGAGAGGGGGGGGGGGCAGGGGTGTGCAATAATCACATTAAAGCATTATGGGATTTTGACACTTGTAAAGAGAAAAGTCCTACCAGAGCTTGCTCGATGAGCAGGCAGAAGAGGATGGCGTTTCCCACCTCCCTTAAGCTCTGGAAGACATCCGTCTTTAGCTCAGCATACTCAATGATATCCTTAAGCTGGTGGTGGAAGAACTCCAGGATGCCTGGAATGGCAGATGGAGAAAAAGACAGGTGTGATACGGCGCTCCATCTGCATTTTTAAAGATACACTGATAACATCTATACTCTCCTACAGTCTAGGAAGCAAGCGCCTGCTAATATCTCGTTATGTCATTGATAATCTCTTGCTAGCGGGATGAAATGCGGTGATGTCAGCGGGTCCACGCGGCCTCTCTGACCCACATTTGGTCTGAGCATCGGAGCCTCGCAGCAGAGGACAAGAGGATCATTAACTGCTGTCAGTGAGATCACAGGCAGTAAGCCAGGTACAGACCTCAGGGTACAGAACATCAGTAATCTACAGATTACTAAGCCCTCCTCTTAGGGACTGCCTCTAATCTGCAACCACAGCTCTAGTCAAAATGCATTAAGGCAGGTCACGGAGTGCACAAAGATGTAAAAGAATTAGGCAGGTAGAGGATTTTTTGTGGTTTAATTGGACATTGTGCACAACCCAAATGGCTGAGAACAGTCGTGTTCCTAACTGTATTTTGTAGTGGTTCATATGTTGTTATCTAGAATTGTACTGCTTTCTCCAAGTTATGGCTGAATCTTATTCCAGTACTGTTGAATGTTTCCAAGATCTGACTGAAGCCAGAGAGGCAGTCTGTGCAGGACTTTCTCCAATAGTGAGCGGCGATATCTGAACCTGGAGGAAAATGTGACTTAAACTGCTGTGCTATGCATCAAATAAATAAAATATCTGTACCTATAACCAGCTATAAATAGTTAGTGCACATTTGTTACAGCACTTTTGTTTCATATTTCTTCATTATGTAAAGAATACTGTGCAAAAGCCTTGAGCCATGCATTGTTTATTTATATTTTGCTCGAAAAATAGGAAAATAAGTGCAGTGATTAACTGAAACATGTAAAAACATAAATGAAAATTTACTATGTGAGGCAAAAACACAGTGTATAGAACTCTAACAAGCTTGAAAGCCAATTTTTGGTTTGACCACCTTCTTCAACAGTAGATGACTCAACTGAAAGGCCAGATGCATGCTCTCAGCTGCAGTGTCAGGTCTGGTTGCTGGATTTTTCTCCACTTTTCTAGTTTCCTCATTTTTTTAACCACACACCATGTTAAGATATAACAAGTTTTTGGATAAGAGCTCTTTGGAAATCAGTTAATTTGTGCAAAAAACACTATTTTATGCCTGTCAAACTGTGTTCTCTTTGGCAACTTTCACAGACTCAGCTATGAAAGTGTCTTTTTGCCTTTTTGTGACAGGCAGGTAACAAAGCACCTAAAGATACAGTTTAAAATTGGTTCTCTGCTAAGTTCTCTGTTTTGCGCCTTTTATATTGTTGAAAGTGGCTCAAAAAACAAACAAAACATGTCCAACGTTCAAAGCAAAACTCTGATGCATCCTCAAAAAGCGTGCAGAACAATTGCTCAAGAAAGTAAAGCAAAGCATTTTTTTTTAAATGAGGGGCTTTTGCACAGTACTGTAAGTGCATTAAAGTAGTGTGAAGTTATTCTGACGCTGTGGTTTTCAGGCTAAATGATCTGCGATGATAAAAATCTCATATTGAATGTGCTAATCCGCAGCCCGTTTATCATACTTGACATATAAACTCGTGCTTGGTACACAGCTTGATGAGAATGGCATTAATTTTGCAGATATATTTCAACTAAAATTGTGGTATGCTGGTGGTACAAAATTTCACAGCATTCAATCAGGTATTGCTCAAATTTCAAGTTTATGTCGGTCAAAGCACCAACCAATATGCAGACCATTTAGTTTCTTTTTCTCTGATTGCCCCCTTATTCAAAAACGGCTTAATTTGACTTACCTGAAGTCAAATAAAGAATCATATTTAAGCAAAGCGAACAAAGACAGCTCATGTGGAAATGTTAACGCAACAAAATGTGCTCCATTCATTGTAATTTTGGGGATTATAAACTCACCTGGGGAGCCGTACTCGTGGCGCGGTAGGCGGCAGATCTTGGGCATGACTTCTATCAGGGTTTTTACATACTGCAGTATGGTGCCCTGTAACTGTAAAGTGACAGAGAAGATGGATAGTTCACAGCAGGCGAGGGGAAGAGAGGGCACAAAAAGGAAGGAGAATAATAACTGTGAGGATCCAGCACACTGAGGGGGAGGACAGCATGCTTTTCAGGATGGAAAATGAAGATAAATACCAGGCTCTTGACAATCTTAAGCAGCTCCTCCATCACCACAGCGATGCCTTGGTAACCAAGGAGGTGGCAGATGGTCTTGAAGTGAGGCGGGCCAACAAAGTTTCTGTAGGAGCTGTATATGTGGGAGTATGCAATGTTGAGAGGCTGAGAGGGAAAGAAGAAACAGACACAATGTTATTCTGAAGCAAGAGGAAGTTTGCTTTAGACAAAAAATTACTAGTCTTTACTATAATATCACAGATGGTACCGCACCTTAGACCCATACAGGTAGTAAGGCTGTACGTTGGCTGGCTTGTCTCTTTGAGGCTCCTGGGTGAAGGGAATAGCCGTCCGTACAAAGCTGAACAGAGGGAGGCGAAAAAAAGGTAAAGAAAAAACACAAAAGGTAAAAGCAAATAAAATATATTCCTGCAAAACAACAGCGTGAAACTGACCGGTTCGTGGACCCGTTGTAGCAGTAGTTGGGGAGGAAATCAAAGTTGAGTTCCCAGAAGACGTGGAGAGTGATTCGTCCATAGGGGGCGGAGACATTGTGGTTAGCCTCGCGGAACATGGCGTCAAAGCTGTCCAGCGTCATGTGCTTGGACAGGAGGCGGTGGGTTAGCCTGTTAACCTCCAGCAGCCATTCCAACTCCTGTCCAGACATGCAGTGTGAGAAGGATGATGCGCACAGGACACAAAAATAGATTGACGATTTTCACTAGTTTCCCTGATGTTTGAGCTCACCACTATAGAGGTAAGATCCTCGCTCTCAAAGCGGCTGATGGCGTGGTCCAGGGACTTGTACATTGCTGCAGAGATCCTCTGGGTAATCAGACGGTTCAGGTCAATCGAGCGACCCAACAGCTGCGTGAGACAACAGGGATTGATGAAAAATACAGTGTGAAAGTCAGACTGGTGGTTAAATAAATACAGATACAGCAGATGTGTTTTCATGTTTCTGCTACCTGCACGTGTCTCTGTTTGAGCAGCGTCTCGTAGCGGTTTGATGGAGGATACGGGATGATTACGCCGTAATTTTTACACTCAGCTCTGAAGCGCTTGTCTAGGAGGACACTGAAGAACACATGGCATATGAGTTTGTAAAGTCTGCAAAGAGCGCTTCAATATCTGCCAATAACTCTAAAATACTTTTTTTTTTTAAAGTCACATTTTCTTTTTTTACCTTCCAGCCATTGCTTTGTAGTAGGCAAATATCTGATCTGCTAGCTTGTAGACAAACTGATCAAAGCAGAGGTTTACCTGAGAACAAAGCAAAGAAAATGGTTATTAGATTCAATTCAAAGTATTTATTGTCATGTGTCACGAGAGAAAAAGGCATTTCTCTGTGCAATGAACACCCACAGATGCTGATAAATATATACAATAGAAATAGAACATATAAATACAAATAATACAAATAAATGGAGACAGAAAAGGAGACAGAATATGGAGATTTGAAACAGAGATGTGTGCAAAAGAGCTATAGCTTAATATGCTGGCTTAATATGCAAGATGGCCTGATGTGCAAAAAAATATACATATTATTACTGTTCAAAAATGGGTCAGCAGTTCAAGAGTCTGATGGCAGTGGGGAAGGAGTTGTTGAGTCTGGATGTTCTGGATTTCACATTTCTGAACCTCCGCCCAGAGGGCAGAAGTGTGAACAGTCCGTGTTGGGGGTGTGTGGGGTCTTTGAGGATTATTAGATTCGATTTATCCCTTTAAATTTCCATGGGAATACTCCTAATGGTGGCTATTAGAACTTACCTCAGCCTCGATTTCATCATAAAGGAACTGTTTCTTGAACTTGGTGAGAGCGTAGTAGCCACTGTCATTATACAAATCTAGAGGGTACAGCACATACCTGAGAAGAGATAGTGGGAGTTAAAATACTGCTCTTTTTTAAAGTCATAATCAATGAGTGTTTAACTGATCTACTTCTTACTCCATCATGGAAGGCTCCTTGGTCTCCAGGATGTGGTCAGTGAGGATCCACGGCATGGACATCTCAATGGGGAACTGGATTCTGCGGCCCATGGTGAGCTCCAGGAAGAATTCTCTGAACCAGAGCTGGGACAAGTCACAGCACTGCTGCAGGGCCTCTGTGTGACAGGACAGTGGCAGGAAGAAGGAAAGAAATGGCAGAAAAGATTGGCAAGCATTAGCAATGTTTGCTCTCATTGCTCTTCCTCTGCCTCACAAAGGAAGCAAGAGTAAAAGCTGTTAATAATGTTAGCTGATGCTGTGGAGTATTCATTCACTTCTCTTCTGGTTTTTCCTTTGACAACTTGGTCTGTTTGAACTTTCAGAATTCCAGCTTACCACTAAAGTTGAGCAAATGTGTGAAGAAGAAGGACTGCTTGTGGAAGTCTTCTATGGCTGTGACTATGGGTCCATCAAGGCTGCTCCGCAGAGTCTTCTTGGATCCACTCTTGTCTGCTATTAGGGATTCCAGCATGGTGCGTACCATGTACAGCTGTGGAGGAGAGAGACAAAGGTTAAAATATAAAAAAAGTGGAAACCTCCTTTTTACCAAGCAGCAACCTGGGTGAAAAATGAAGCTAGTATAGAAGTGTAAAAAGGAGCCACTTCCACAGGCACTAATGTACAAACAGATGAAACAGAGATGCAGGCTTTAGAGCCGAGCGCTGATAACAAGCCAGATGGTGTCTCTCCTCTTTAGTCTGGAGGACGCGGTGTGCGTGTTTTCCAAAAAGAATTAAAAACTTCGATTAATCTGACCACAAAACCTTTATTCGGTGATTATGAATGACTTTTGGCCTAGAGAACATGCTTCTGGATCGTGCTCTTTTTTGCATGATTGCACTCTAACCTGCAGATAGCAGGTTGCAGATAGTAACTGTGCTCACAGACAGTCATTTCTGGAAGTGTTCCTGGGCCCATACGGTGATTTCCATGACAGAATCATTCCTGTTTTTAATGCAGTGCCACTCAGGGGCCCAAAGATCATGGGCACCCAAGAGCAGATGGTCTGCCATTTTTGAGACTGGTGATGGCATCACATTCAAAATATGCTAAATTTTTTTATGAAATAATAAAATGTTTCCATTTAAACAACTGATATGCTTAAACAGTAGTGTATATAACTTTTACACTCATTGCATCAGACGAATATGAGTGGACAAAAGCTCATGTGACAGACCATTATTACTCATTTGAAACCTTTATGAAACACGACTGTCAGCTGCAAGAGAATTCAATATTAATGAATCAATGGTACGGAAGTAGAGGAAGCAAGAAGAATGAGTTGAGTAAAGTTTGACTTATCTGACTGTCTTGTTTCACTTAATGCGCCTTATAATCCAAAAAATACAGTTACTTCTACCTTCCTTTAGCATGTCCAGAAGTATAACGTTTTGTGCGATGGTTAGCATCTTCCACTGCCTTTGACGTTGCAAAATGGTTTGTCAACATTTTTGCGTTTGTTGGGGATAAACTTACAAACATACAGTGCAGCACTTCAGAGTCACACTGCTAGCGATCAAAGATTTATGTAAATTTGACAAGCTGAACGCATTCTGTACTGTACAGGAGAGACGGCACGGAGGAGACTGATTGACAGTAGTCTAGAGCCAATCGGGAAACAGAACACAATGCACTGTTAAAAAAAAAAAAAGCATGCAAAATTGCACAAAGAAATTCCCGAAACAGCAAGGCCGCGAAAGGTGAACCTCGTTATAGCGAGGGACCACTGTAACTTGAGAGAAAGCTTCATTTCTAATTTAAAGACTCAAACCCACACCCCAAATCTATGTATTTTAAAAAGTCATAACCTTCATGAAAATGTATCAGACTCCAAACAGTGTCAGTTTCTGTTAAATGGGAACACCGTGCAGCATAACTCACGCAACTCTCACACCACATGTACATTTTCAGGTTTTGCAACTGCTAATAGGAAGTTAAGCTACTTTAAAAATCTCAGTAGTTTCAAAGATAATACATGCAGATCTAAATGCTTTCACTACAGACTGAACACCATTCTTTAAGCACCCTGGTCCGTTTCACGTCCCACCTGTGTGCTGGAGGGTCCGACGGCTCTACGAGGCACCTTGATATCAAACCCGCCTTTCGGGTCCTTCTCACCCCTCAGACAGGGGTCATTTGGAGGTTCCCTGGCTCCTTCCCAGTCACAGACAGTTTTTCGAATGGCCTGGAGAACGCTGCAGAAAAATGTAAAAATACTTCGTCTGTTGTTTAGTCTGAAACAAAAGAAACGGATGCATTTGTGATTGCATCATTTTTGTACCTGATGAGAACGTTCTTCTTTTTGCGTACAGCCTGGCGCAGAGGTTCTCTAAGGGTCATTTGGGCAAAATCCTGCAGAGCTGCGTAGATGGTATTCCTAATGGCCTGGTTAAACACAGACTCCATTCGGCCCATCAGAACCTTTGGGACACATAACATCGTTTATTGCATCACCTAATTTTAATGCCGCTTTAATGTCAATTGTGCAAGTTGCATTTTTGGAAATAAACTAGTGAAAACTATGCTTGTGTCAAACCATGCACTCAGCTGAAGTGCAAAAAAATATCCAGATAGTGAACATCAGTGAGAGTGCTACTCATATTTCAATAATCTTTTACCTGCAGCCCTTTGATCATGGCAATGACCTCCACCAGGGCAAACTTCTCTTCACTGGTGTAGTTGTAACGTGTGGCTCGCTCATACTCCTCCGCCGTGCCTGGACAGTCCTTATTACAGAATTTATCCGTGGGATGTACCAGTTTCCATGAGTACTGAAACAAAGGAGAGCTATAATTAGATCAAAGCCAGAACAATAAATAGCAAAAAATCAACCCACATCATACGTCCAAAACCCACTCATATTCACACTGACGGCCCCACAAAGCATTTTCCCTACCCACACAGGGATGCAATCAATCCCACGCTTTACTCACAACTTCCATGACATGCGTGCTCCACTTAGACAGCAGCTGCAGACCCCTCAGAGCCAGGTCGAACAGCTCCCTGTACTCCTCGTCTGACTTCTGGCTGTCCAGGCCCGAGCCGGTCACCACTTCGCTGTTGCTGTAGCGCGCTAGCTCGGAGATGAAACGGATGTGGTCATCCCTGATCTGCACCATCTGCTCGCACAGGTTGTACTGCGGAGAGATGCTGCTCTGAGTGCACGTCCACCTGGGCACAGATGGGAAAAGAGGGTTGGGAGGGAGTGTGTGGGAGTTTGGTCATCAAGGAATTTTACTTCGGCCTGTAGTTGTAGTGGTGGAAAAAAAAAGAAGAGTAACATCCAGATTTCTGTAAATTACACCGGTGGATGGGTTTGCTCACTTGGACTTGTTTTCTTCATAGTGTGCGCTCGTCTCAATGTAGCGTGACAACTCGATCTGCATGTCTCCAAACAGCGGCACCACTTGCAGCTGAGAAACAAGAGTGAATGCTTCACTTCGTGGGATAAACACAACAAAGCGTGTAATGGGAAAAAGAAAACGCTTAAAAGCCCTTACTTTGAAGAACTTGTCGATCTTGCTCAGGTTGATCCTCTTTTTGGCATCTAGTTTATAGATATTACTCACATTCCCATCCATCAGGTACAGACCAAAGCCCATAACCTGTCAAAAAGAAACGGAAGGGGAAAAGACAAATTGGCAAAAAGACGCCAGAAAGAGATAGTTTCGAAATGTTGCGAGCTGGCGGCAGATAACGATGTCAAACGCGCGCTTACCTTAAGCAGCATGTGTTTCTCGCTAGGCGTCAAATACATTTTGTTCTCATAATAGTCTACACAGATGTTGACAATGTCTGCCAAAAGCTCCTCGTAGCCGGGAATCACCTCCAACTGTTGATGCAGGCACTGCACGGAAAAAGCGCGACACAACAAGTCACCTTTAGATAAACAGTAATGCACTGACAACACAAGAAAGGAGGACTCACTGTACCCTGTGCGTACGTGGGATTAAGCATCAACAACAACACAAATAAAATAAGATCGAACACAATTCAAGAGGACCAAAAACCAGCAATACACTGAGCCGTAACCCCGGCAGCTGTTAAATCTTAATAAGCAGACTTTCAATGAGAAACTTCCTGTCGGGTCAGCGTTCAGCAAGTTAAAGGCTGATTTAGGTGAGAACAGCCACACTAATTACATAACAGCTCCTCTGCTCTGACTAACATTCAGGCAGCAGCTCTGTGACACCTTGAGTACAGCTGTGAGTCATTCATTCGCTCAAGTCATTATCCTGGAGCAATCCAAGTCACCTGCTGTACTATCACCAGGATATTTAATTGTATTTGCAATAAACCCCCAATTAAAATGTCTATTTTCACAAAGATGCACTAAAAAAAACAAAAGAAAGATGGAACCTAAGTCATAGTCTTTTATTAGCCACGCATAATCCCCGCACTGACCTGAGTGATCCTGTTGTGGTTCGCTAAAAACATGGAGAGATTCTGAGACTCCTGGATGGACTGGGGATCAGCCATCTTCCTCAAGAACTGAGCTGCCCTAGAGGTAGGAGAGGAGAGGAAAGTTAGTTTGGCTCTGCAGCGTGAGAAAAAAAACAAAACAAAAAACATACATTTGAATCTCTTTACTTAGGGTTCACTACCGTTTGTAGGCAGAGTGATCGTTTTTGACGCTACACTTCATATTCTTCAGTTCGTCCAGCACTGCGAACATGTTGATGAATTTGCCCAGAGTGAGCAGATAGGCCTCAGACACGAAGTCTTTCCTCCTCTCGGCGTGGCACAGACGCTTCACTTCGCTGCAGAAGCGTTCTATGGCTTTCCTCTGATAAAAAACAAACACAAAACCAACTGATTATCAACAGCTCTATTAATAATGAATACATATGCATAAAAAATGTTTAAAAACCCTCCTTTGTCTCTATAGACATAAACATACGTTGGTCTGTTTAGTGCTTTATCATAGAGTTTCATTGATCTAGTTTATGTAATCTTAAAGTAGGATCTTACCTGGAAGTACATGAACTTCATGAGCTTGGTCACTTCGGGCTCTAGCACTTCCACCGTTTTCTCGTAGATCTCCACTCGGTTGGGCTGCTCGTTGCATTTCACCTAGCAGACACAAGATGGTGCCATCACACAGCCTGATCTCACAGCAACAATGCACCACATATACTTTCCCCCAGGTAACATATTAGCTGCTCCGATCCCCCACGACCCCACCCCACTCCCATCTTTTTGCTCCGTTTTCCCAAAAATCGCGATTACTAAACATTTTCGTTTAAAACTGTAAACGTCAGTTTTGGGGAACTTTGTTACATGTAACAATAAAATCATTAAGGTCACACTGCAGACCTGCGGGGTGTACTAGGAAACAAGATTAGTGAGGTATGCTCAGTTTAAAGTTAGAGTTCTTTCTCTCTCTCTTTTTAACCCGTCTACATCGCCATGGCAACTAACACTGAACGCTGAGCAGGTCCAGCTTGCGTGGTCCTAATTTGCTGCTCAGTCCAGCAGCTGACAGGACAAAGATGAGTGAATCGATCGGCCAATTTGTAGACTTTTAATGCTTAAGAATACCCAATGTGTGAAATTGATTTCACTCTCATCTGGCCACAATTTCCACATCTTCAGAATACAGGACAGAGTAAGTCCCGACTGTAGCGAGAGCGACTTAGCCATAAACAGCATCAATGAGGGCACACTGAGTAGGACAATATGAACATACAAGTTCGCTACATTTGAATGATTTTTTACAGCATCCTCCCACCTTGATTTATTTGCAGTGTTTGAAGTTTGACTTTCTTTTAATAGTCTTTATATTTCCTTTTCTCACATGTTCCTCTGGGAGTTAAGTGGGCAGCACTTGAGGGTCAGTTTATGTGAGCGTGCACAGAGAAAGTCTGAACAAACAGAAAAAGCCGACAACCACCCGCTGCAATGCCTCTGACTGGGGTTTAAGGTTTCGTTGAGCCAGCTAATGTAAAAAAGCCTGACTGTGTTGAACTTGTGACTGCACCCCTTTGTTAAGGCAAATGCTTTGCAGTCCAATTCGGTTTGAATTTTTTACGTAACAGGGTGGTTTCTGATTTTTTTTCCCCCCTTTTTATTTATAGCTAAAAATACAGCTGTCAGTGAACCAGAAGCTCAGCTGCAGGCGGTGTTGTTTCTGCTCTGTAGAATCACCACCGCCTGCAGCTGAGCTTCTGGTTCAGTGGCTAAAAGGTGCAAAGTTAGGCAACCCAACTACCAACCCACAACTCAAGCCTGGCAACATCTGCATTTCATACGGCCTTTTTTGGGTAATTGTTCCTTACAGTGAAAAGACAGTGTGACAGCTTGAATAAAACTCTGTTATGATGGTTTAGCATTAGATCTAAAGGTTAAGATGTGAGGACATGAAGGAAGTGATCATTAACCTGGGGAATGGCTCTGGAACAGCTTCTCCATGTGTAAAGCATCACAGCATATTCATGTCCTTCCTCCAGCATCTCATTCTGTAGAAATAAACAGAACAAAGACATTTAATTCCTCATGCACAGCTGAAGTCACGCCAGAACTAGATACCTCAACAAGCTCAAGATTATATCTACATTGCTGTGAAAAAGTATTTCCCATCTTCTTTTTTGCACATGCCACATTTTTTTTGTTTCAGATGATCAAACTAATTATTTTATTAGACAAAAACCTGAGTAAATGCAAAATACATTTTTTTAAATGATGATTTTAATCATTAAAACAGTAAAAATAAAAATGACCCAACCGTACCCGGCCCTCTGTGAAAACCTCCCCTCCCCCATTAACTGTTAACTCATTAATTAACTGTGAATTCAATTTCACATGCCACACCCAGGCCTGATTACTGCCAGCTCTTTCGAATCAACAAAACACTTAACTATAACCTCTCTAACAAACTGAAGCAGGCTACAAAAATCTCATCTAGCAACTCATCAAGCTTTGATCTCTAATAAAATGAAGAACAGATGTAAAACACTGAAGTCTGGACGGGTTACCACGTCATCTGTAAAGGTTTGGGACTCCAGTGAATCACAGTGAGAGCCATTATCCACAAATGGAGACAAAACTTTAAACCAGGCAACCAAAATTACTCCAAAAGCGCATCGATCACTCATCTAGGAGGTCACCAAAGAACCCAGAACAACACCTGAAGAACTGCAGGCCTCACTTGTCTTGGTTAAGGTCGGTGATCATGATTTAAAATTCAACAAGAGGAGACTGGGCAAGAATGTCACCTGTGAGAGAGTTCCAAGGTGAAAAGCACTGCTGACCACAAAGAACACGAAGGCTCGTCTTACATTTGCCAAAAAAAAGCCTGGAGCACTGTACCCAAAATCATTTCCCCTAGGGATCAATAATGTATTCTGATTCTGATTGATGATCTCCGAGACTTTCGAGGCGAAAATCTTTTGTGGGCTGGCAAGAAGAGAGCTGAACTTTGTGGAATCTTTGAGTGCCGTTACATCTGGTGTAAAATCAAAGAGAGAATTTCATATAAAGAACATCACACCACCAGTCAAACGCAGTGGTGGAGGTAGTGTGATGGACTGAGGCTGCTTTCTTCTTCAGGATCTGGATGACTTCAACCCATGAATTCTTCTCTCTACCAGAAAATCCTGAAGGAGAATGTCCAGCCATCAATCTGTGCACATTTGGGATACACAGCAGGACAATGATCCAAAACACGCCGTAAGAGCACCTCTGGGTGGCTCAAAAAAACCAAAAACCAAATAAAGGTGTTGGAGTGGCCTAATCACTTAAACCCAATTGAAATGCTCTGGCATGGCCTTAAACAGGCCGTTCATGCTTGAAAACCCTCTGATGTGCCTGATTTAAAACAGCTCTCTAAAATTCCTCCACATTGAGGTGAAAGATTCACTGCCAGTTATTGCATACACTTGATTGCAGTTCTTGCTGTGGCACAGTTAGGGGAAGTTTAGGAGAACTGCTTCTAACAAAGGGTCAGGTAGGTTTAGATAGCTTCTTCTTCCCTAAAAAACTGCAGTTGGTATTGACTCAGGTTATCTTTGTCTAACATTAACATCTGTTTGAAGTGTGACAAATAAGCAAAAAAATAAAATAAAAGATATCTAAAAAGATATCTGGAAGGGGGTGAATACCTTTACACGGTACTATATCTTAGTAACAGACATTCTGCAAAGCTACTAAACACATCACACATCTCAGATTAAACCCACATTGCAGGACTTGATAAATATTTTAGCAGGGAAACATTTCATCCTCTCAGAAATAGGAAAGACAGATTCCTCCATCCCTGCGGCTAAAGGACGAGTGCCCCCAAATAGCCTGGCCTCAACCTGAATGTGACTTCCTCGTTGAACCGGTTAAATACAGCTCTCACTTCCCCTCTTCGACAGTCACATCACATTCTCTGTTCATTCACAATCAGGGGAGGGATGTTTAGTGCTCGGCTGCCTCTCTGATTCACCAGCGTGTGAGTGGAATTTGTGTCTGCAAGAGTGTGCGTGCGTTATTTTTATGTGTGTCCCGCCACAGGCCGAGCCAAATGATAATCAATTCACATGAAACGAGGCTCTCTTTAAGGGCACGAGGCTGCTTCCCACAGTCTGCTTTGATTTTACTGAAAGAGGAACAAAAACTACTGAGTTGAGACCACAAAAGACTGAATTTCACTAGTTAGCTATTAAAGGAAAAAAAAACAGTGGAATGGAGAGCAATCCCGTGATGTTTATTTTAGTAACCAGCGCCGCAGGTCTCACCATGCTGGAGTGGACTGTGGCTTGCTCGATGTAACGGGCAATGCCAGTCACAAAAGCATTCCTGTCTTCAAAGTTGGTGTCAAAATTTGCCTGCCGAAGGAGAGACAAAAAGGGGTCAAAAGACTGTACACTGAAAAGGACCAATCAGCTGGGGACGATGGTAGGTGGCAGCGGTGGCGGCACTGTGAACCATTGCGTACCTGGTACATAATAGAGGAGGGAGGGGGTTCAATGCACGGCTGCTGGTCCGGGAGCGGCAGCTCCTCCAGCAGGTCCACGTTGGACAGAGCATCCTCCAGGGTCACGTGGGTCGTCATGGTAACGAGGTGTCACTCAAACAACGCCCCAGGCTGACATAGAAAGAGAAAACAGAAGGAAAGATAGGAGTTAAAGAGGCACCGCAAAAAGGAGGAAAAGTGCTTTTGTGATTCCCAAAACAGAAGGTCTCACACGAGTACTTCCTACTGCAGTTTTACACATATATGTCGGCAAACGGGTCAAAAAGTTACAGGTGAAAATGACTTGGTCAGTCACGACACAATACTCTTTGCAATCCGGTCGTTAAGTCTGACGTCACTAGCCGTGTCTGGGCCTAAACTCCGCTGCAGGTCCATATATCAAACGATCACTATGGCATTACTGAGAGTTGAAAAACTGTCTAAAGTCTTTCATCTTTAATAAAATGATCAGCGTTCTGCTCTACCAGGTGTAACAATTGAGTTTAACATCCAGGCATCCATGAAAACGGAATTTATGACATTTAACGGAGTTAGAAGTTAGCAGGAAGTTAGCTCGCTAGCTTCCATCTAAATACAATATAGCATGTCCTGACTGCGGGGTTTTGGAAACAAATTAAAACGTACAGCTCTGCTATCACTTCCAGCATAAATGAAGACAGAAAACTAAACAGCAGTGACGTTTGTAGGGTTACTGAAGTTTGGCTAGCTGGTATATAATGATGTGCTACGTGACCGCTAGTGACACAGCTATGTTAGCATAATATAAACAAGCTAACTTTTTTTCCACTCAATAAAAGTTAACGTGAGTGTTCTCGGTGGTCAGGAACAAATGTAATCGCATGGCAGGATGCTGTAAAAGGACCAAACTTCAGCCAGGAGAACAACTGAGATAATCCATCCACAATACGAGGTTAGTCATTCATATACTGCTGCATGGGCTGGGCTGTAGTTACATCCTAAGGTTTTAAAAACTGAGCTTAAATAAATGATTAGTGGTAATAAAAGCCGAGGGAGGTCAACAGTGATTACTGACTGTTTTAGGAGCTTTTTGAGATTAAATAGAAGAAAATACATAACATTAAACATGTTAACAACACAAAAGCCATATTAAACGCAGACTACTTTAGGCCCGGAAGTAGGATTCGTCACGTCATCACTTAACAATCGGATAGGCTCTGTATTGCACTGACATGTACTGCAATTTGGGGTGGCTGTAGCTCTCATCTACTGATGGGAAGGTTGGTGGTTCGATCTCCGATCTTTGCTCCGCCAGTCTGCATGCCAAATATCCTTGGGCACGATACTAACCCCAAGTTGCTCTCTGGCGCATCAAAGCACTTACATAGAAAGAGCTTAGAAAAAAGTGCTTGTATAAATGGGTGAATGAGGCATGTTGTATAAAACACTTTAAGCTCTCAGTCCATTTATTACCTTTTTCAATTGTAAATTACATCCTTAAAGTTATATTTTGTGAGTAACCGTTTTTTAAACTGTGAGTAAAACCTGCCATAACACAGAATCAAGTCTGCTATCAGTCTACGGTTGCATGGGGTCAATTATACACTCTGTCAAGCTAAATGTGTCTTTTCTGTTTGGCCTGATTTATTGTAATTTTGCTAAGGTAATATTATATCAGGAGGTGAGCCCTCTTGTTAGTAGAGTAGTATCTCCAGAGTATTTTCATGTATGTGTTTCTTTTCAAATAATAATAATAAAATATCAATATTTGGTGTCCTCGATACAAAAAACCCAAACTGACACGTGATACTGTGCAGCAAAATGAACCTGGGGTGCTTGTCTCAATCGGACAGAAAAGTCAGGGGACAATTGATCAAGAAATTACTGAATAAACAGATAAAAATGAATAAGCAGGTTACACTCTAGCAATTCAAATGCATTCTATAGTCAGATACTGCAGGGTTAAAGGACACATACACCAGACACTGTCTTAGTATGTCTAGACAACTTCATTTCCTCCCATGAAGCCCTGTTTTGGTGCAGAAAGTGTGTGCATTCACCCTGCACCTGTATCACTTGGGGGGGAAGAAAGGGGAAGAGGCCCCTTGCAGTTTCCTTTTTGGCTTTTTGCTTGACTAGAAGAATATCTGAAGAGCATAATTCATGAAATGCCAAGACCTGGAAAATGCCATTGATCTGGCAAAAAGCAGAAAACGCTTCGAAAAACAATGAAAGTTCGACAGCAAACACAAAAACGTGTTATCTTGTAAATGCGGCATTGGCAAAATCTGCTTTCCTGTTAAACTCTCAAATTGCTGGCAGCTTTGTACTTTTTTATCAATTCAAATAAATATCAGGTGGTATATATGAATGCATGATTACGATTTCACACTGCAGGATAACGTTAAAAACTACACAGTCACAGCCAGCACAAGCAGAGAGGAAAGTGTGAACACCAAAATACAAGAGAGGGGAAATTGAAAAATAAAATCCTCCAACAGTGGGAAATGGGAAGACGGGACAACTTTAAAGTAAATGCAGAATCTGCAAAACCGTCATTTTGTGACGAGAAGCCTACATAATGAGTTCGCCGGCTCTTGGTCATCGGTAATGGTCGCATATGCAGGCTTAACCAATGATCACAAATGATCTGAATAGAAAGTGGGTGGGGTTTCCTGTCATATCAGACTGTGACATTTTTTCACATGGTAGGCCACCAGTCAAACAGCACCGAGTTCTCAGACCTCACCCAGCTTCCAAAATATATGCACACACAGTAAAGATACTTTATATGGGTGCTGCAGCTCTGTATACAGTTTACACTGCAACACAAAATAAAGAAGAAGAAGAAGAAGAGAAAAAAAAAAAAGAATGTGGCACAAGTGGGTAAACGGCCACTTGGCCTCTTTAGTTAGCGCTTGTGGATCAGACCACACGGGCTTTCAAAACTCAACCTTTATTTTGATCTGAACTAAAGACCCATAAAGTTTCGTGAGTATATGTTGTGGTGTTACAACACCACAAAAGGAAAAAAAAAAAAAAACAACAACTACCAACCTTCTGTCACTATTGCAGTACTTCCAGCTACAGCGGGTCTCATCAATATCAGATTTTACCATGATCAACACACGTAAACACGTACACAGATAAGTATAATGATTACTGGATGCTAAATGTAGGTTGTTCCACTTCCCGTTTCTGCTATTGTGTGAATAACCGCTTCTTTAGTTGATTATCGGTGACATCATTTTCCATTATGGTATAGAGTACCACTCATTTGCTGAGCGCTATCGCCCTTTAACTGCTCTTTTTGTTTCTGTTCCATAATTTTAAGTATGACGTTTAATGTGGACACGGTGGTTGTGAAACAGATAAAAGCCGGCAGTGTATCAAGGATGTTGTGTGTGTGAGAAACCCCTTTTTTTAAACGTCTGAGGATTTTGTCATCTTGAACAGAGTGTTTCCTGTATTCTTTACACTGCTGTGCTGCTTTACAACCTGGATGCGCACACTGCCTGATTCTTTTAAGACCTGGCTGGTTATTTATAATCATTCGGCATACAGAAAATGAAACACGCAGCTCGCTACAGGGGCTTTGTCGGGCAGACAAACGTGCTCAGTGCTGCTAAACTCCCATCTGTGCATGCAAATACAGACGCGCTCTAAAGCCTGGGTTGGCTGAACAAACTTTCCCACCCTATACAGGGCTCTGTTAAACAGTAGGTTTATCTGTCAGTCTCTGTGTGTATGTGCATCTTCGCCCAGCAAAAAGGGCCCCTTCATTCCCTTCTGGGCACTTGGAAACCTAGTAGAACAACCAAAGAGGGACAAATGAGGCAACGAGACAACAACTCGCTTCACAAAACTCACACAGTAATATTCCCTCCCCCCCGCCGAGTTCACGTTATAACTGCAGCCTCTATACATGAAGAGCTCTGGTCTGATGTCTTCGTGACAGCACTAAACAATGAGGTGGTGAGAAGATCCCAGAATATCATGAATAAAGCAGAGGAAAGGAATGAGATGCAGTCAGAACATGGAGCATGATGTAACAGGCAGAAAAAAATAATAATAAAAAAAAAAAGACCACTCTGCGCTGCTAGGCCTTTGTGTAATACATCTTGCCCGAGAGGAAGACAAAGTGAGAGAAAGTGTGTCAACTCCAGCCTCGCACCACTCCATGGGATCTCCCACCCAAGGCTAGCTTTGTAATACACGCAATAAGACCATATGTGATCAGCATTGAAGGCAGGCACAATACGGATCTCGAGCATTTAGTCACGCATGCGATCATTTAGAAAACGTTCAGCGACACCAACTAACTCTGCGGCTAAATGTGCGTCCCAGCAGCGTCTGTGCAGAGCATCCTGTGCAGGGGACGGTGTGTGGCTGAGGTATTTCACAGGCTGGTTGTCATTTCTGAAAGCAGCACAAGAAGAAGAAGAAGAAAAAAAAAAACTGCTTTCATCTTATGATTTCTGTGATGTCATGCTTGCAGAGATGAATATAGACTAGGGAAAGAACAAGAGCATGCCTCGCATAACCATCAGCAAGCTTGGAAAGTACAGACAGCAAACGAAAAGTAAACCAGGTGTATCTAGTTGTATTTATGTTGGCAACTTTATGAAAATACATTTGTAAGTGGTGATAATAATAACTTCATCTGACTGCTACAGTTCCACAACAGCTTGCGCTGCTTCCTTTTTCTTTGTCTAGTTCGTTATTTATATCTAGACTCATTGTCTCGCTGTGTTTCTCAAATCAGTCAACTGCAAAATAGTTGTACTTGTACCCTGAATCACTGAGCTGTTTCGGGCAAGTAACAGTTGTGAGGTGGGACCTGCACATATTGTTTTTTCCTCTTTGGATACATCCCACAGGATTTAGATCTCGGAAATCTGAAGGCCTAATCAACAAATCGGACTCTTGCAGAGCAAATTGTTCTGCTAAAGGAGAAAATGTGCTGAATGCTGTTGTCTGCCACAATGTTTAGGTAGGTGATAAGTGGAAAAATGAAACTCACATGAGTGATAATGACCCCGAGGTTTCCTAGCAGAATGCTTTCCTGATGATCACACTGACTTATTCCAATATTCTAGCTTATGGACCTATATAGCTTTCCCAGGTAAACACTGCACACATATAGCCGACCACATGATGATTAATCAGAGCAGCCCACCATTGGCCACTTTAATGCTCACATGCTTCCTGTGAGCACAAACAGGGGTCAGCATCATGGCCAGAATTAAGTTTCCAGCAATTTGTGTTTCAGCTCTTCACACAAGTAAGCCTTTCCTTCCAAAAAAAAGCATTAACGAGCCTTGTTACCTGACAAAGAAACTGCCGTTTCACCAAGTTTTTGGTTGGCACTAACTACTGCACACCAGGAATACCCCACAAAGCCCTCTGTTTAGGAGGTGCCCTTAATTAGTCTTCTAGCTATCACAATTTGTCATTTGCAAGTTCTTACTGCTGACCAGTTTCCTGCTTCCAACACATCTTTCACAACGGACTACTCAGTTGCTCCTTAATATACTGTTTTCTGAAGAACTCTGGAGATATAAGGATGTTTAAATATTAATTTTAACCAATTTAATAGAATGGAACTGGTATGAAAGCAGCACATTGGTATTGTGGTTTCCACTATTGCCTCACTGACAGAATGTCTGGTTTGAACTCCAATCTGGGGCTTTTCTGATTGGTTCTCTCCAGTTACTCCAGCTACCTAACCCTAACCCAAAGGCATGCTTGGGTTTAGGTTAATTGGTGATTCTAAAATGACTGTAGGTGTCTCATGTCAAGAATCAGCCTTAACCCGTTTCTTGCCCTATGACAGCTGGGATAGGCTCCAGCCCCCCTCACTACCCAAAAGCAAAATAGATAATAAGCTAAAGGATATAATTCAATCTTCCCTTTTACGTTAAAGGGAACTGCCTGGTTGCACTCACAGCATAGCTCTTAAAAGGAGAAACGGGGATGAGATGAGTTTATGAGTCAATTTTAACCACTCATGATTTATTCTCAGCAGATGGTTCAAACAGGGATGTTTTAGACAGCTCCATTTCTAGCTGTATACTGGTTTAGACCACATTAGCCTGGCATACAGCTGGTAACTAGCCTTAGCAGTTCAGACATCTCTCTGTGACAATAATAGCGGGATGCTGTGGTGGTGTTTAGATGTGTTTTTTCCTCTAATTTTAAAGCATGACAAACATGACCATGACCGACTTCACAGTAAATGATTTGATGGTTTTTCACTTCAGGTGGCAGTAAGCCAACTTTCGTAGAAACCAAACTTGAATTCACTTCAGTAATGTTAGCACTTGAGTTGCAACTAATTATTATCTTATATAATGATCGTAGCATATGTACGTATTAACCCTCTTAGACACAATTGAATCTGTAACTTACTATGTAAACTGTCTATGTTACCAGGATTATTAACATCTATGTAGCTTTTGGGAACTTTTTTTAATACCAGTCAAATCTTTACAAATTATAAATGTAGGTGAAGTACCTGACCTGAAAAATGAACAACATTATATGTATGTTGTTGACATTACGTGTACTTGTTAGTTGTTGACATTAGATGTACACTACATGTACGTTGTTGACATATGTGTATGTTACATGCATGTTGTAGTTTTTGTAAACACATTTTGCTTAACAGATTTTAGTGCCGTGGTACTCTGGGTTCATTGGAATGTATATCTGTAAATAAATGTCAATCAAGCAGTGATGCTACTAATGCCAGTAATTGATTACTTTATCTTATGCAATGAATATGGATTTTGCAAAGAAGACAAACAATAAACCTATGTATTTATCTATTTATATTTTAGTGTATATGAACAATACTTTTTGCCATTTGACTGAATACAGTGCAATCATGAAAATAAAATAAAAAAACATCATAAATTAACATATGTGTGTGTGTGTTTTAACACATGAGCGAGGTTAGCAAGCTAATATTAACAATAATACCTGAATTGCAACAAATTATTCTTATTAATACTACTACTTCTACTACTACTGACAACAATAATAATTATTATTATCAATCTTAGCAAATTACACTTTCAGAGAAACAAGAAACACTCGTTTTAATCAGTCAAAAATGTGAAGTTTTCCCGTAAAACTATCACAAACCTAAAGAAGACTCTTTTATAAAAAAAAAAAAAAAACAATCCTAATTTTACCTGACTATTAATGGCACCGGGTTTCATTTTCATTGTGGTTTTAATTTTGCAATCCTTAGTGTTAGCAGAAGCAAAGCATCAAGATTCAAGCATTACATCACTGCTTGTGGGTGAGGGTCTGGCATACAGATTTACAGCTCAGAGAGTCTGCAGCAATGGCAGGCTTACATTTCTACCCAAACTGGCAGGTTCGTCTGTAGGAGAGAAATGGAAAGGAAAAACATCTGGGTTTAGACTAAGCCTGTCTGAGACGGAAGTGGGTGAACCTGTCATTTGAGCACAAGTAACGGCCCTGCCTGCCTGCTGGTGTGATAGCTGTGAAACAATCCTGTGCATCTGGCCGTGCTGTGGCCTGTTAGTCGATTGGAAAAAGGGGAGAGGACCTTTAAGGGGGAAAAAAATTAAAAAGCCAGAGCATCGTCGTGAAATCGAGCAATCTGAAACACCAAAACGTTATTTTTCGACATCTTTCTGTGTCTGTGCAGCGAAACGGTTGTTATCAGCTCAGAAAACCGTGGAGCCTTACGTGCTCCATCATTCATCAGTGCACTTGCCACACAGGCACCCTCTCCTCACCCCACCCATCTCAGCGTGAGCTACGATGCCGATGTAAGCTAACGGGGATCCCATTCATGTGCCACAATTATCCACGATAAAGCGGGGCGCTCGATCCCAATCGAGTCCCTCCTATTTACAAGGATCCCCCTATTGTTACATTTGCGCACGGACAGATAAGTAAAGGGAAAGGATGTGAAATGCGAAAAGGAGGCAAAATAAAAAGAAGGGGGGGAAAAACAGCACTCCAGTCTCCAGCCATCATCACTACCCAAAGCACATCACCAGCCCCGTTCATCTTCTTCGCTGCGTCTGCATCCATCGCTACTTTTTGCCACATACCTGAAAATTGCATGTCCGTCCGGCGACAAACTAAATCGGGCGGACCGTGTCGCGGTCTGCGACGGCGAGCCAATGTTTCCTAGGTTTTTCTTTTCTTTTTTTCCACGTCTTCTATGTCGACTGATGCTCTAGTTTCGCCCAGTACCAACCCGGTGCTAATCCACCCCACACAAAGAGCAGAAAATGGCTGCAAGTGCATTTTCTTAAAGAGACAGTCACAGTGGAGCACAGGCGATGATGAGAGGAGCCCCGACATGTTGATTCGCTTCATTTGAGCTAGTTTTCTTCTTAAAAATACTTTGGGTACGGATAAATACACAATGCGTTTCAGGCTTTTAAATTGACAACATCAAAAGCTGTGGGTATATGTTGTATGTATAGGGAAACTGAGGGTAACCTCATTTAAAGGAGGCGGTGGTAAATTCTTAGTTCTCTGTATGAATTCTAATTACATGATAAATAGGATATAGAAAAAAGTAAAGGGCCCTACTTCACCCACCTTGTACCACTATTTATAATTATGAATTCAAGTTGCATGTAGTAGCATGTAATTAAATATTATTGTTTATTATTTCAAACGTATGTGTTGAATACAGTACTTTATAATGACAACATGCTATAACCTTGATTCCAGAAAACTTGGAATGTTGTGTGAACTGCTTAAAGACCACAGAAATCCCATTTTCACTTGCAGATCTTATAAACCTATTTTTTATTCACACAACAACATAGAAAACATATAACATGCTTAATTTGAGAAAACTGCTCATTTTAAGCAAAGAAATCACAAAAAATGAACGATACAGGATTGTAGTTGCTCGACATTCCTGGGTTTGATTTGTAGTATTTTCCATTTCATTTGACGCCAGATGTTTTCATATGGAGAAACGTCTGTACTGGCCAGTTCTGCACCCGGACTCCTCTACCATATGTAGCCATATGTTGTAATTGAGTTGCCTTGTGTTGTGTTCAGTATTGGCTTGATGAAATATGCGAGGCCTTCTTTGAAAAAAAATGCTGTGCAGAGTCTTTAGTCATTCTTGATTTCTTGACTTTCTTGTAACCTCTTAATGTGGTCTTGAGTGATAGTTCTTCAGGCTTTCTGAAGGTCTTTCAAAGTTTTTCTTTATACATTGGCTGCTTTAACACTTAAAGCATTTAAAAGCCACCAAGGCACTCAAACAATGAACCAACATTCATTCTATCTGCAAATAACACACAATTTAGCAACAAATCAGTTTTAAATTGTATCTTTAGAACCTGAGAGATGTGCCTGACCCTTCAGCTGATCCATCTACTTTGGTGTCAAGAAGACATCCTTAGGGAAGGGAAATGGAAAGAAAAGGCTGAGGTATGCCAAATTACACTGGATTTCCATTCTCTGCACCTTTTTTCCATTTTCCTATAATGGATATTAAAAAATGAGCGGTGGCTCAAGACTTTTGCACATTGCTCTATGTCCCAGCAGGAAACTGCAATTCCACGTCTTGCCACTATCGTCAGAAGAGAATGCGTTGGCTGACATGGCACCAAGAGAAGATCGCATATCACTCCAGTCTTGGCCTCCCTTCACTGGTTGCCTGTAAATTTTAGGTTTCATTTTAAAATTTTAGTTCTAACCTTTAGGGCCCTACATGGTCAGGCTCCTCAATATTTATCTGACCTGCTGAAACCACATACATCTTCTCGGGCTTTAAGGTCATTAGATCAGAGACTGCTGGTGGCACCGCGCACTCGTTTTAAAACTCGTGGTGATCGGGCCTTTCAGACTGTGGCACCACGGTTGTGGAATTCTCTCCCACTGTCTCTTCGCTGCACGGACTCCATTGATTCTTTTAAGAAACAGCTGAAGACATTTTTATTTAGAAAAGCATTTGATTAATTTCTTCTTATGCTGTTTTTATAGTTTTATTGTTTTACATTGTTTTATTTACTGTTATATTGTTTTTATATTCCCATTTTCTGTGTTGTAAAGCACTTTGTGATTTTTATCTGTGAAAAGCACTATATAAATAAATTTTACTTACTTACTTACTTACATGATACAAGAGAATTATTGATCATTTGATATGGGAAAAAAGTTACTGTGCCTGTACCAGAAACTGCAGTTCTTTGACTGGCCACTGGAGTCTGGCTCCAAAAGTGAGTCATTCCAATAACGTATGGCTTATTTGACTGAAAAATTGATGTGGGTATAGACCAGCGGTCCTCAACCTTTTTTACGCCACAACCCGGTTTAATGTCAGACAATATTTTAACTGACCAGCCTTTAAGGTGTTGCGGATAAATACAACAACAACAACAACCAAAAAAGATACGACCAAGACAAAAACTGTGGTATTTTGTAAATATAATAATAAACGTGAATTCACTGTGTAATTGTGTAAGTTAATTAGCAGCGTCCTCTTGAAATGCACCAACAACATTGAGAATAACATTCTCCTCTCTGCCCCTTAATGCTCTTTGGTTGCTATGGTAATGTGTAAATATTTCTTTCAAAAAAAGACACGCAACTACAACACGGGAAAAGACCCAGGGAAACCGAGTTAACGATACAAACCCTGAAAACCATAAATTTCACACCCGAGGCTCAACTCTCGAGGCCCGGTACCAAATGACCGGTCCGTGGCCCGGGGGTGGGGGGCTGCTGGTATAGACAGCTGTAGAAGTTAGAGTCACACAGTTGAAATCGACCAACCTTGTTCATGGTGTTGGTGCGATATGGAGCATTTTTTTGTTAAATATAATTTCACAAAAACATGACTTCATCTCTGGATAATTGTAGTAATAGTCTAATCAAGAAGACTGTGCTCCACCTTTAGCACAGTTTCAATGACTCATATTACTTACCACATATTACGATGTATCCGAGCAATGAGTAATAAATCTATCTTGACCAAATGTGGTCACCTGTGACTCCAAAATTAATTCATAAAAAAAAAAAAAAAACATGACTCATGACTTTGTTGTAGCTATGTCCATCTTTTATATACAGTATATGGATGATCATCAAAAATATGACTGTTGTGGCTAATGTCAGTGAGCTCCATAAAACAGGAAAGCCTTTCTAATTTCTAAATATATATAACATCTGGCAACTTCAATAATTTCTTCATATAGAAACAAAAATATTTCTTATGCCAAGATTTCATTATTGTAGTGGAGGAAACTAAGACAGTGAGAAGTGACAAGATGTAAAACATTCAGTTTAATGACAGTCAGCTGACTGAAAAGCAAACATCTCACTTTTATATGGCTTATAGAATTACTCAGACCTTTACATGATTCTGCAGGAAGCACCAGTAGCTGTGTGAATGGACTGTGTGAGCCCTCTCAGGGGATACTTACAAAGCTACGAAAGAGATAAAGTGCAAAATCCAGGATATAAAATTGCTTTGGAATAATCTAACTTTACAAATGACAAGCAACTGGTTACAGTAAATAAATAAAATAAATATTATATATAAAAAAAATCACAAATCACATGTTGGTTCAGGCGTCTGAAAGGGAGGCCAGCTCGTGAAAGAGGAGCCCAAATGTTGGGCGATCGTCTGGTTTCTGGGAACAGAACAGAAAACAAACGACAGTTAATCGTTTGCTCATTTTATGATCAGCAGAAGTTCTGCTTGAAAAAAGGGTAATGTCCTCACCTCCTTCCAACACCACTCCATGAGTAGGTGGACAGAGTCCGGGGCCAAGCGTGGCTTCAGGAGCCTCAGGCCTGCGTTCAGGGAGTCCACCACTTCTGCATTAGTGCGGTTCTCATAGGGGAGTCGGCCTTCGTTGTACACCTCCCACATGAGCACACCTGAAGAGGGACACGGAGACAGCACTTGTTAAACAATATGGAAGCATTTTAGTCCATATTGTATCGTTCGTTTAACAGTGAGCTACTCTAGTCCAGTGCAGTGTGTTTTTATTTATTTATTTTTTTTATATAACTGAAACATATTTATTTTTAGCCTCATTTGAGAGTAATTTACTACAGATCAGAATTGGCCAAAATTGTTGCTACCCAATAAAAAAAATACACACACCTACACATGAGACACACACACACACCTAAAATTTGCTCTGCTGTAAGTTCATACTTTAAAAGTAATTCATCTCGCATTCATTCAATACAACAAATATAGTCGTCTGCCTAAAGTATTTGATCCTTAATTGTAATATTGTGCAGCTGAGCAGTTTTTGTGATTCTTCACAAGAGGACGCCCACCTCCCTTTCACCCACTTACCTACCCCCACACACACCTACACACACACTCACACATCTCTGTAGGTTGTTTGACTCTTCATGTTCAAACCGCTGCGGTTCATTCAGGTTTGATGAACACGTTTTCCCCCCACTGTGAGTTTCAGCTTTTTCCACACTCGGCTCAAATGATTTTGTTTCAGTCCATCTTGTTGGAAGTATGTTTCAGATCTTTATACTGTTGGAAGAAGCAGCGTTGGCCTGTGACTGGCACAGAGCTCTGGCACAGGTACATAAATGTATTTCACTCCAGATTATCTTGATGAAATCCGTCGTCCCCAGCGTTCTTTTCTTCAAAAGCTTCTTTTTTTCGGCAAACTTGGAAACTAGTTTTAAATCCCAAACTTCATCCAACAAGAACCACTTTGACTTGTCTATTTGTATTTTATCAAACACAAGTTTAAGGGGGTTTTTTTTATAATCCTCTTTCAAAAGCGGGGTCTCTTTTTTCAACCTTCATTCAGAAACCAACGTATGGTGTCGACAGACGCTTTTGCACTTTGATCCTTTAAATCAGCTCTGTTTAGTCTGGAGTTAATGTTCCTCTGGTAGTTTCATCCACTGAAGCCGGCATGAAAGAATCCAATGAAAGAGTTTCCTAATATTCTTAGCAGCTGCAGTCTCAAGAACTTCACACAGCCTGTAGATGGTCTCTTTTAGTTTTAAACCGTTATTTAACCAGGAAGTAAAAATCTTGACATAAAGAATCTTTTGAAAGACGCCTCAGACAAACTTTTCCCCTCTTTCTCCTGCCCATCATCAGTGTAACAATGATACTATACAGCTGAATTATTACTCTTTTACCATTTCAATGCATAGAATCATGATTGAAAACACTTGTGTTACCAATGAAAAGCAATAGCCTGCTTAAACTGTCACTGCAGTTCATTTGTTTTTCACGATTTCTAAGGGACGTCAGTAATTGGATCCAGACCTTTTTAGAATAGGTCATAATTCAAATCTGTTTAGAAATAGAAATAATAACCCCTATTGTAGAAGTTATAATATGTTTTATTTTTACTTAGTTTTAGCACATCCGTTTTACACAAGAAAATCATAGATTCATAATACAGAATCTTTTTTTTCCCCCAAAGATGACGTCAAGCTAAAAGCTTTCTGTCTGTTTAATCTCCTTTCAAACCTCGGCAATTGTCTGAGCTTATTGTGCATCCACTAATTGTCACTGAATCATGAAAATGGCTAGCTTTTAGACTATTTTATATAAAAATTTACCAAAAAAATGGCTTTGTCACAGATAACTGCAGTAATAGTCTGCCCAAGAAAACTGTGCTCCAGTTAGAGCACAGTTTTTTTTTTCACAGGATAAAAAGAATTGTTTAATATATAACGTCTAAACCACTGCAGTGTTATTTAACTACAGTTGAGCACATGTGCCATCAGGAAAACAAATATGATTTAATCTGCTCTCACCCAACCTGCAAAACTTGCCAGACGAGTGAATCAGAAATGCAAACCAAACAGCTGAATGGCAGACAAGCGCCCAAACTCACCGAATGACCAGACGTCAGACTTGGTGCTGAATTTGCAGTATCTGATGACCTCTGGGGCTGACCACTTGACAGGGAACTTGGAGCACTGTGAGCTCGTGTACTGATCATCAAGAACAAATCTAGGGTATGGAGAGTGGACACAGACCATAAGCTGTGACTCACTGTGACATTAATGTTATGTAATAATTTAAAAAACTGATCTTCACGAACATACCTGGTCATTCCAAAGTCCGATACCTTCACCTCGTTGTTCTTTGAGACGAGACAGTTCCTGGCAGCCTTTGGAAGGAAGAAAGGAAGGATAAAGTCCTCTAACAAAGCAGGGATATGAAAGTGTATCGTGAAAGAGCACTTTATTTATTTACCAGATCTCTGTGGATGAAGTTGGACATCTCTAGATAAGCCATCCCTTCGCTGACATCCAGACACATCCCCAACAATATATCCTGAGACAACGAGCCTTTCCTTTCTCGCAGGTAGTCCGTCAGGCAGCCGTTTTCCATGTACTCAAACACGAGGCAGATAGGAGAATGTTGTGTGCACACGCCATACAGCTGTACCAGCTTAGAGTGAGAGAGTCTCCTGTTAAAACACACATGCACAGATAAACTGAGTGGTTTCAAACTCATTTTACAGATCTCCACCGTGAACTGTACTTACATCATAATCCGTGCCTCTTCTTTAAATTCGTCGTCTGACATGCACTCTTCTCTTACCATCTTCACCGCTACCTTGAGATCCCTCCAGCTGCCTTCCAGCACCAGTCCAAACTGGCCGCTGCCTATCTCCTGACCCAGTATCAGCTCCTCAGGGTCCACTTCCCACTGATCTGTTAACCAGCAAACCAGCAGTGAACCAAAGCATCCACACTATAGCTCAGTTATATAACCATAGAGTTAAACTTCTTCATGCAAGTTTCACAAATAAAAAAGGACTTTTTTTTTCTCATTTTCACTTGCTTTTTTTCAGCAAAGATTAATTTGTATTACATTGGTTTATATTAAAAGACAAAAGGGTGGAGTTACTTAACAGCCCTGAAGTGTAATTCTGTGCAACCCACCAGAGGTCAGCAAAAACAAGATTCACAGCAATAAATTAGGACTGCTTGGAGCTTTAGTTCAACAAACTTCGGGCATCACAAAAAGACTTAAACCTTTTGTGATATCAGTAGAATCCTGGGAACAGCATCGACCTTGAGAGACGGGGTGTCTCAGCCGTGTTATTAGCCCTGCACAAAGAGAAAGAGACAACGGGAAATTTAAAAAGCAGGACCAAGAATTTAGCCGTTTCATAAGATGAACTTCATTTATCCTTTGAACTTTTTGAAATAATGCTGTTGCATGAGAAAAGCTGGCACACTTACCTGCAGCATTGTGCTGGTGGTAATATATGAGCTCAGGAATGGTGCTAAACAGGTACTTCTCTGCCAGGTAAAAAGAAGCTGGGCTCGTTTCGGTTTGTCTGATTTGGTAATGCTTCACTCTCGGATTCTTCTCCCCATTAGACCTGATGAGAATATATGCTTAACTTAACAAACATTTTTAAAGCAAATGTTTGCCTAAGCAGATGATTACACATAAACATTGGAAGATCAGAAAAATATCACAAGATTACACTAATCTTATACTTAATTCTCATTGGTTACATCTTTAACGGTCACTTAAAATGATTGAAATCCTATGAGCCATCAATTTTTTTTCATGATATAAGTAACCATATATGACTGTTTTAATTATAGAGTTGTTTGATAGATATTTTTTAAGTAAATTCATAAGAACACTATAAATAACATTTACCCTGGTGCTTTGGTGAAAACAGACACTGTGTACACTCCCGCCTGTCTTGAGTCCCGCACAATGAATGCACCTTCCTTACCCTAAAGACAGAATAACGAGATCACATAAGATTTCCCACGTTCGGCGGTGCATTCTGTAACACGTCTGGCGGCCGTTTTAATTCAAAGACGACGATGGATAACCATTTTCCCTTCCTGCTTGCAAAACTTAGCAAAGCAGGAAATTCAACATTGGAGGAAACTTTGTGGTTGTGAGAAATTTTTTTTTCATGTTCTATGTCAAGTCGAATTGTCGTTGTGCAGGTGCATATGCAGCGATTTTGCAAATGCAACATTGCTGTTGGCGGCACAGTCGCATCAAAATGCACTGTGTCATACAGGGGCTAAATCTTGCCTGTCATCATCATATCAAAATCATTATTTGAAATTTTATTGCCAAACAGAACTGAGTTTTTGTTTTTACCTCTTTCATTAGCAATTCTTCTGCTTGCGCTCTGCTAATGTTTTTGTTGTACCATCTGTTGAGAACACATTAAACATTTAACACAACAATTAAATCAGTTTTGGAGGGAAAACATGGTAATTCATTAGCAGCAATAAACACTGCAAATTAAAAGCTCGAGTAAAAGAAATGAATTCAAACTCACTCAAATCTTTCAAAGTTGTTGATGGATTTTTCAGCTACGTATGTACTGGGCACAAAACCCGAGTTCCTAATGGGTGACAGGAAAAGGGATTTAGCTAATGGTTCTTCTTTTGAAATGTACTGCTATTTTTTAATGTAAACAGTTCAAATGAATTTGGCATTGGCTGTAATGCGTTTTACCCTCTCTCATCCTGTACAAGCCACCAGGTGGAATGGGAATTCTTAACCAGGAGATACTCCTGATCTTTCTGAAGAGGTAAGTCATTGTCTCCCTGTGGCGTGTAGTTTTGCAAAGCGATGACCTTCTGTTGCCCCGAATCTTCCAGCTCCATCTGGAAAGGGAGGAAAAAAATCTGATTTAAAAACCATTTGTACAGGTATGTACAAAATTTTGGGTTATTACCTCTAAATTTCGACATACTATCATAAACTTCCGAGATGAGATGAGAAAATAACTCGAGATTTAGAATCATGAAGCTGAAGTTTTGCAATAAGAACCCCAAATTTTGAATTTAGCTCTGCCAATCAGGAAAATGTTTTTTAAGTGGTGGAAATAACCTGGTACAAATTATTGAGAGGTCTGAGTGAACTCTTCCCAAAAAGTTCATACACAAATACGAAATCCAGAGGTTTCAAATAAAATTACATTTTCATAGTGCCAAAGGAAAAAGTATCAACAAGGATTTTCATTTGACAAACTTTAATGTACTTCTATTTCTTCTACTATCTATCTATTTAAGTAAACACTCAAACACATGTGCGCTGAAACAACTACAGAGCTGCTGCCTGAACACACAAAATCAAACCACAGAAACAGTGGTTAAAAACCAATGCATGACCTAATTATTAAATATGTAGAGAGAAACTGTGTTTAAAAGTATTGCAGACAAACATGACAGGCATTAAAACTGAAAAAGTGATTTGGTCTCCCTCGCTTCATTGGAATATCAGTAATAACCACAATAACATTTCAAAAGCTTGTGTCGTTTGTGTTTTAGATGGTGGTACCTCTGGCTCCGGGAGGCTGGGAAGCGGCTTTTTAGAGGCTGTAGGGGAAACAGAAATGTTAAATTGGAGAGCTATTTGGCCCATCTAAACTCACAAAGCAACAACGGTATGAACTGGATTAGGCAAAACGAAAGCATTTAGTTCAAGTTTACTCTAACCATATGTGCGAAAGCCATACAAATATCTTAATTCAAATGGAATCGCTACCACAAATCATTGGATTCACGAAGTAGAAGAGAAGGAAAAAGAAATGCTACAAACCATAGCCCACTGGGTCGTACACGTTGCACCCAGTCGCCAGTTTCTCTGTTTGCTGGCAGCATCTCCATTTTCCATCCATCCAGAAGTTTGGGTGGTATTTTGGAACTAAGTTGTTATTCTTTGTCTCTACATCAGACAGAACAAGGGAAATATTGTTTGAAATATCCATCCGTATGTGTTTGCAGTTCATACAATCAGCGGTTTATCATCGACTTGTCATAGTACTATTATTATTATTTGACTGGTGATATATGGTAATGGCTTACCCTCTTTAAGAGCTCTGACCCATTTCTGACGGCAGTCATTGTCTGGTGCAAATATGTAGAGGTAATAACTTTCATGAAAAACCTGCAGAAGAATTGAGATTTTAAAGAAAGGTTATATGCGTTGTCATTTTCAGTCATACTTCACCATACACTGTATATAGGGTGTATGTCGCAGTGTTTAGTAGATTTTAATGCGGTGACAATTGAGTTGGTCTCTAGGAAATGATGAATCTTACCTGAAAAGGGTACTTAAAGCTGCATGGTATGGGCACATCAGTACACACAATCTCCACGCACTTAATTCTGGACAGCTCGATGCAACCTTTCAGCAAAGGCTTTTTCTGCAACAAAACAGCTTAGATTACAGCAAACAGCCAAGAGTCTGCATTCCTGAAACAGCTCTACAGATTAACCGCACATACTGTACTTACCCCGGGACGACGTTCAGAATACTTCAGGTCTTGGGTATCCAACACAAAAAATCGCTCTTTATAGTTACAGGGTGACACTCGCTTCTTCTGTTGAGATTTTTTGATCAGAGTTCCCTTCAAAATCACCCTGGGGAACATTTTACCAGCTATGAGAAGCGCAATGAGAAATACTGCCTTGTTTTGTCATACCAAGAGAGGCGGCATTGCCTACAGCATGCAGAGACAGAGTAGCAGTGAGTGTACAAGAAAAAAAAATTGAGGATGATAAGTTGATAGATGTCGTAGAGTTTCCGGCATAGGGTTGTTGCACAGTAAACCACATCCTACGGCAACAAATGCGTTGTGCAAGCGAAATACACGCGTGCGCGCACATACACACCGTTCAGGGTGCTCGCAGGCACTTTCACTCACTTAGTGCACGTTGCAGTCAGCCACTATGAGTAGTGCGATCCCCAGAAAAAGGATGACTCGTTAACCTTTACATTTTTCAACGCTTTCCATCAACATTCACTTCAAAGGTCACGGATGTGTCCCACTACTACAGTGAGGTTGGGTTATAATGTCAGCATTGGGCAAAGGGGGGTTCAATCTAAGAGGGCAAAAAATGGCATAAATGATTTTAACTTGAAACAAGAAAGTAATAGGGGAAAAAACAAAAGTTTTTACTGAGATTGTGAGATTGCAAGAAACACACACACAAAAGAATCTGTTTTTTTCCCCTGCCATAATTAATACATTTAGAGTTTGGTGTTACGTGTTCATGATGTCTTTTAGGATTTGCCCTGTTTTTTCTCCATCACTGCTTTTTTCTCCCTTATATTTTACTTGGTTTTTGGGGGGTTTGTGCAGGAAAAGAAGGTTAATAATAATAATACAGGTTATAATATAGTAACAATAATATTGTAACAGTAATGATATGGTAATAAGAATATGGTTGGGCTCCATTAATGATTTTAAAGTGACCGAAAAATTTCAAACTGCTGAGGTAGTGCTGTCAACTTACAATGGAAGAAAATGTAGTTAAAGTTAAAATCTGAAAATATTTTTACAGTCACACCGAATGAAAGATTTAAAGGATACTACAGCACCACCACCAGGAAAGAGTTCCAACAGATTGGTGTGGATTGAATGAGTTGGGATTGCCATTTAATTTAATTTAATTTAATTTAATTTAATTTAATTTAATTTAATTTAATTTAATTTAATTATTGTCAAAAAACAACAACAACAAAACAGATCCAAAAAGCCAAAATTACAAAATCGGCTTTGACTGTATATTTTTATACAGTTTGAACTGTGTAAATGTCAAAATTCAAGGCTCTTTCTTCTTTTGTCAATTAAAAACATTTCCAGAAAATACCTGAATTTAACATTTTTAGGAGTTAACGTGCTGTTGAATGGGAAATGTTCAGCAATTTTGTTCCATATGAGTATTTAATAAAAGAGAACATTTGTCATGCTGTATGTGAATAAGTGCAAATAAGTATAAAATAAGTGTAAAAGTAGATGTGAAGGACCGTGTGACACTAAATAATTTATTTTCTAAATCTAAAGCTCCAAACTAAAAATGTGGAAAGTTTTCATTTGTTTTAAAGATGTGACAGAATCAGAAGGGTGAACTTAAGATGCTCAATACAGTATAGTGTTTAAAAGCATTCAACTGTATTTTATTCTTCTTGTTGTTTTAAGCCATATATAAGTGATAAATTGGGGGAAAAGAAAAAAAACAAAGGAAAGTTTAGAAAATTGTCTTATACTGACACAACGTTAAGGATAGATCCTTGAATTTTTAAGCTTTTGTCTCTTGTATTCGTAATAGTTTATATCTATTGTAATTTTCTTCCACATTTTATTTACCTCTTACCTGCTGCTGACCTTCTACCGCTCGTCCATTGAGAGCCTGCTAACCTACTGCATCACGGTATGGCAGCTGCACCAAGGTGGATAGAGTGAGGCTCCAGAGTGTGGTCAAGACAGCACAAAAGATCATTGGCTGCCCTCTCCCCTCCCTGATGGACATTTATTCCTCCCGCTGCCTCAGCAGAGCAGCAAACATTATCAAGGACAGCTCCCATCCTGGTTTCAACATGTTCAGCCTGCTTCCCTCAGGGAAGCGCTACAGGTGCATCAGCACAAAAACCCACAGACTCAAATACAGTTTCTTCCCCAAAGCCATAACCACCCTGAACTCACATGCACCGATAACACAGCCCCCCCCCTCCCCCCAATTTTTTACATATTACTTTTTTTTTAAAAAACGTACATGTTTGTACAAAATGTGTATATATATATATATATATATATATATATATATATATATATATATCTTTTTCCCTATGTTAATACTGTCTATATGTATATAGCGCTGCAGAACTGTACCCCCCCGAGCATGTTTACACTGAGCACGAGGTGCTCTGTATCTCATTGTACAACTGTATAGTGACAATAAAGGCATTCTATTCTATTCTTTTCTATTCTAAAAGTATTGGTGGCGTTGTAAACTGCTGGTTTGCTTTGACTAGAAAAATATTTGACATTACCAAATGATAACAGGTGCTGGAGATGGTCACTATTGTAAAAAGACATCAGTCCTGTACAAAATAAGCTTCAAATTAAGCACTTTCGTATCAAAAACTACAAGATCAAGCGTGGTATCCTCACACCCAATCGGTGTTTAGTTTGTTCCATTGCTATCGTCCAATCCGCGGGACAAAAACCAATGACGTCGAGCCTTAGGGACTGAAACGAAAATCTTGTTAGTGTGGAATGGAAGGAGCTAAACTAGCTACAAGCTAATGGTCGGAACTAACGGACGTCTATATCTAGCGTCTTATATCTTCAGCGACTAAAGAGTTATTTGAAAGGTGTGTATAAATATCATAAGTCTTCCCCCTTTTAACGGTATTGTGGGTTAGCATTATATTTGGTGTAGCGATTTAACTCGTTAGCGGAGGTTAGCAGTTAGTCAGTCAGCAGGTAAGCTAACGACTGCAGTTAGTTGGAGAGTAAAGGGCTAACATGTTGATAAAACAAACAAAGGTTTGCGACAGTAAATGGTAGTCTTCACTCAACTCTATTCCCATGCAGACAGCGTTTAACATAAGTTATATGCAGATATTTACCGTACAGACAACTGGCTGGGCAGTTTGTGTTAGCATAGGCCTCTTAGCACATCTTTCGAAGCGATGGTCTCAAACAAACACTGAATTTGTTTGGAGTTAGTGCAAGCAAACTATTTAGACACGGCTAACGTCTCTGCAATTAAAAAGCTATGCCGTCTTTTTGCGGCAAACATCCTGCTTCTTGTCTACCTGTGCCCCCAATAGTGAAGTGAGAGAGACACCTTTTCACTTCTGTTATATTTAGGCACATAGCCTAAATTAATGTTTATGTTCAACTACTGTGAACTGTAAACACTTTTTTTTTTAAAATTAAGATACTAAATTGCAAAACCTAATGTATGTTGCTTTCCTTTTTATATATATTGACACGGATTCTTGTGCTTTCAGGTCGGTATCATGGGTGAACCACAGCAGGTCAGCGCCCTGCCTCCTCCACCGATGCAGTACATCAAAGAGTACACAGATGAAAACATCCGCAAGGGTCTGGCCCCTAAGCCACCTCCACCCATCAGAGATAATTACATGATGTTTGGCAACCATTTCCAGTGTGATGACCTCATCATCCGGCCTCTCGAAAGCCAAGGCATTGAGAGGCTTCACCCTATGCAGTTTGACCACAAACGGGAGCTCAAGAAACTGAACATGTCCATTCTTGTGAACTTTTTGGACCTTCTGGACATCCTTATCAAGAGCCCTGGTAGTATAAAGCGTGAAGAAAAGCTGGAAGACATAAAGCTTCTGTTTGTCCATATGCACCATCTGATAAATGAGTACAGACCGCATCAAGCCAGGGAGACGCTAAGGGTGATGATGGAGGTCCAGAAAAGACAGAGGCTAGAGACAGCAGAGAGGTTCCAGAAACATCTGGAGAGGGTGGTGGAGATGATCCAGGGGTGCCTTGCCTCCCTGCCTGATGACTTGCCTCAAGTGGAAGGTCAGGATGGTGCTTGTGATGGGACAAAGAGTGCGCCTCCTGCAGCTAGTGTTGGCTGTTCATCTGGGCAGGCCACCAGGCTGAAAACAGAACCTATGGATATAGAGGAAGCAGCTGCCAGCTGCATGGCAACGAGTCAGCAGGAGAAGAGCATCCCTACTTCAAGAAGTGACAGATGGGACAAGGATGCTGCCATGTGCAGCATTATTGATGAACTAGCATAGTTTAATATTATGTTCTTTCTTTTTTGTCGTTTCTTTGCTGAACTCTGTGTAAATATGGCACTTTCGTACATGGTATACACAGAATATTTTTGTTCTTTTTATTTTATAACTGGTTATGTCACTGGTCTTTGCTCCACAAGTCTTTAACATGACTGCATTCTGCTATTGAGTTATACGTATATGGTTGTAATACATCTCTGTTCTCATGGTTTCATGCACGAGAGTGATTTAGAGAGTGAACATGTTATACCTGTGGTTTTTGCCATACACATAAAAAATGTGTGCCTGGGGCCTCAAGAATTATCAGCATTAAATCAAGTGTAACCACACTGTACAACAGTGATGCTCGGTAACCTCTCTTCTGACTTGGGAACTTTCAAAACACATCATCGACGAACGTTTCTTACTGCTAGCTTGAAACAGCTGGTGAGATAAAATGTTGGGCGCAACATTTTATCTCATTTCATCTTTGCTGTTTATGGCTTTCTCAACTGCATCGGTTCTCAAAGTTTTTCTAGTACGTTTAATTTAAATCCCCAAACTCCACAGTTTTTATCCAACCACTAAGAAAAAAAGTTTTACTTAAAGGTCACATTAAGAAAAAATCCACTCAAGTTTCACTTCACCTTGTTGATTATACTGCACCAGTGTTTCCCGCCATGCAGGTAGTGTGAGAACTGCTGCTCTAATAAGATGAGCACTCCAGCAAGAGAAATGCACAGTCATGCTTTTGTCCATGTGTGTCAGTTAATGTGACTTTATCATTCACGTTTGTGTTGTTTTACTAGGTACCACACAGTAAGGCTGATGCCTAAACCTTTATTTAGAAGTGACCAGTGTACTCGTTCACCCACGAAACTTGAAACTATGACAATAAATGCTGTCACATTAACGGGAAGCTGTGAATGTCAGAAATGGACATTTGAGGGTGCTAGCTGTGTT